TGCTCTTCTTGGGTTTGGTTGGAGCTTTCTGGGTGATTTTTGTCTTGCCACAGTGCGGCATTCCCAGCTGCTCACTCGTGACACCTCCGTGAGCTGCTGTCATTGGGCGCACTTCCCGGAGGGCGGGATGGAGGCAGGAGCAGCGAGGCGACATGCCTGTTCCATGGAGCCGTGTCCATGGTCTGTGCCCTGTGGGCCTGCTGCCCCACTCACCCGGCACCGTGACGTGACCCGTGCCCTGTGGGCCTGCTGCCCCACTCACCCACCACCATGACGTTGAACTCAAAGCCCATCTTCATGGCCTTGATCTTCAGCTGGTCCAGCACGGCCTCGATGCCCACGTGTCCGAACATCTCACAGGGTGGAGTCCTGGGGCTGGACGGCCGTGACGAGCAGGGGGAGGGGGACCGCCGCATGGGGTCCATCGGGCCAAGGGCACAACCACACCTGGACCCAGTGGGGTGGGGAAAAGGGTCGCATTGCTGAGGCTCTTGGGAGATGCTCCCTGAGTTTTCCTTTTGGAGTCCTGACTCCCACCCTCAGTCCTTGGGCTACCCCCAGGACCCATGGTCCAGGTGGATTGGTGAGAGATGCCCATGGGAGTTGCCTTTCTGGGGAGATGAACCCCCATCCTGAGATGCCCCACCCCAGAGGTCTGTCCTTCCCCCACCCATGGCCCTGCAGGGGGCCTGGGAGTATGCAGCTGGGCCGGATCCTGGAGGTGCAGGGACTGGGCAATGGGTCATGTCCCAGCGGGGAACTTGGGAAGGGGCCTAGGAGGATGTGCCCCCCCTTTCCCTGGGGACACTCAGCAAACTTAGTGGAGATAGTGAGAGGGGCACAGAATCCAGGAGACAGAGACAGGAGGGGAGAGAGACGGAGGACTGGCTACGAGAGGCCAGGGGAAGGCCTGAGGGAGCAGGGCAGGAGCCAGTGGTGGTGGGCCGTGGGGACACCTGGCAACGTGGGTCTCTGTGTGGGAGCTGCGAGGAGCTGCCCTGTCCCGGCAGCTGATGTGTGTGGCGAGGGGGAGGGGGAAGGTGACAGTTAACCGAAGAATCTGAGCTCCATCCTTACATTCCTGGAACCCACCCAGAGGCTCCTCTGCAGCAAGAGGGGCAAGAGCAGGGGTCAGGATGATCCTCCAGGGCCCTCGCCCTGGGAGCCTAGCAGTGACCCACTTAGTGAAGAGGAACCCAAAGCCCCAGGGCAGCTTCTTGCAGAAAATCGTGCAGGGGCTTCAACCTCCAAGGTGGTGCCATGAAAACATAACCACTCCGCTTGGGGTAGCAGCCCCCGGCCCCGGCCTGCAGGTGGGAAGTGTGCGTTTTCTCCAGTGAGCACCTGTGTGGCTCAGGTTGCCAGCGCTGAGAAGAATCAAGGGGTCGGTGCAGCAGGCCAGCAGGGGGCGTGGTGGCGAAGGTGCTGGATGCTCACATGCTATGCGGTTTGAGTCCTGGACCCAATGGCTTAAAAAATCACAACAAATAAATAAATAAAGGTAAAAAAAAGAGAGATGGGTGAAGGGATTGCGGCGTGGCCATCCCTCCAGGGGTGATTTCTCACTTTCTGTCTCCCTCTCTCTGTCTTTCTGGAGAGTGCATGCGCCCTATAGCAAAAACCTCTTAAAAATATTATCTTCGAAATAATTAGACTGAATATTTTAAGAATTAGGAACTTAGTCTCAAGACCCTATTTCCATAATAAAATATTTTAACAAAGTTCCTAAATACGTTCTATATAAACTTTCTTTTTTTTTTTTTTGAAAGGTTTTTGCTATAGGCTGCGTGCGCTCGCCAGACAGAGAGAGACATAGAGACAGAAAGCAAGAAATCACCCCCCGGGGGGATGGTCACGCCGCAAT